ACTAGGCACAAAGCCTAAATAAAACACTGCAGAGGAAACAAGAAAAAATACCAGATACAATCCTTTGATCTAGCAGCAATTGCGTTTCATCTCCAGCCGGAGTCGTCCTCAGTGCACCATCAACATAGGCCTCATCCGACCTCCAGCAAGCGCACCCACCCCCTCGAGATAACTAGGCCACATCCGGCCACACCCCAAGGTGAACTGGAATCCCCCAAGCCAAAACAAGAAACCCACCTCGACCGATTCCCGACTGCAGCGCACCAGGGCACTCACATTGCTGAGCGCACTGCCAACAGGAACAGGTGATAGCCTCAGTCCGGCCCCTGAGAACCTCTGGTAAGAAACAGAATGTGTAACATGTCCAGATTCAAGAGCACCCTCAGATTGAAGAGCACCCCATACAACACCGAACCCATATCAATCCACCCAGAGATGACAAAAACCCCCTGGTACGTCCAAGAGGCGGGACAGCCGACCCCGTACGAGGAGGACCACACCCCCACCATGTAACTGGTGCCAGACCACCGAACCTCCCTTTCTGGGGGGGGGGGACCATAACCGCGGTGAGAAATCCATTTGGAGACCAGCAGGGTGAACCTGAAGGAACCACCACCCTGACTCCCAAAATTCGAGCCCCTGAACCATTGGCGCAGGCACGCCAAGCCTGGCGGCGACCGTAGCCATCCCAAACCAGAATAAATGCCCCTCGAGCTCCCCACCAACTTTCAGGCAATTGATGGAAACCTGCACTGCCTCCGATCAGAACGGAATTTGTCAGGCCATCCTGGGAACCCGTTACACCGTGTTAGGAGCCCAACCATTACCCCGTGCATTCCATCTACCTTAGGAGAAAGCGGAAAAGCCAGGGCACTTCGACCCCTAAACATCCAAGAATCGCACAGATTCCATCGACGCATCAGCCACACCGCAACTGACTTACCCGTCCCAACAACAACAGCAGTCGAGCAGCGAAACCTGAAATAAGTCCGTCCACCAAAACACCCCACCACTTGCCGACAACTGTAACATGAACAGGAAGCCGAGCCCTGCCAATCACAGAAATCACCCCCAGCGCCCTCAACAGACGGAACCAAACATGTAGATGAGCAGTCCACTCCCGGAACCTACAAGGAAACTTCCCCACCCGTCCCGATCACTCCCGCCATACTGGAGTGGGCCCCACGCCGCCTCATAGGGCGACCCACGGACCAGCTTCATCAGACCGTTGGACCAGGCGACCACCTCCACTGCCCTAACATCGACCCCGTGACACCTCTGACCGAAGTATGCCCAATAATGACCAAGACAGAGCGTCGGCCACCACATCGGGAATACCCGGACACAAAAAACCTAAGACCAGCCGCCCTAGATTCAAACAGCACCAAGCCAGGCGCTGCCACCAGAGTAACACTGGGGTAAAGTGTACTGTTACATGACAAGACAGCCCGCACCGCCCCACGATGGTCCCAAAGGAAAACCCCACCTACCTGTTCTAGAGCCGGGCACCCCATGCCTACCATGCCACCAGAAAGGGGAAGCTCCAAGAACCCCAAAGTCCGCCAGAAAACCGATCCTTGCCAGTGTAATGGGCAAGAGTCAGCACACCATTGAGAGCCCAAATTGGCCCAAAACCCCCCAAAACCTACGGATATGGCCTGGGCCACGGAACTCCGAAACTCATAAAACTACTCCAGGAAAAACACTGTTGCGGACATGCTGCACCGACGGCCCCACGCATAAATGACATCGGGAGCAACCTACATGAAGGCACAGAACCACCCAATCCTGACCGTCGGGAACACAACCTGGAAACAATAAACCCGACGGGCGTACCGGCAGCCAGGGCTGCCATCAGAAATTTTGGGGCCCCTGACACAGCTCAAGGTCAGGGCCCCCCGGTGCCTGCACCCGAGTCCGCCCAAAGTGCTGCCCCCTCCCCAGTCCGCCCACAGGAATGCAGTGTCTGCAGGGCCGGTGCAAGGATTTTTGCCGCCCTAGGCAAAAGTAAAGTTTGCCACCCCCCCCATGTGAAATCACAATGCCCCACCCATATGATCTGCCATGTTAACTAACGCCAGTGCTGCAGTGCCGCCGTGTTTACATTAAAAGGCCTGCAGGGACAGGCTATAGACACCAGAACTACTACATTAAGCTGCAGTGGTTCTGGGGACTATAGTGTCCCTTTAATGTGAGGTAAATTAGAGATTAGTGCCACGAATAATATACTAGATTGCCTACTTACAACCAGATGAGGATGATGATGGGCTCTGGCTGCAGTCTGGCTCCACTGGTCTGGTGTAGAACAGGCTCTCTGGAGGCGTTTTGTAACTGTGGTCACAAAAATCAATGTTTTGGGATCAACGGGAAGCAGCTCCATTTTTTTGAGGGCCCTTTACACAGCTCAAGGTCTGGGTCCCAGGGTCCACCTTCATGTTCCACCAATGAGTTTGTTCACAGAGGGTGGAGTGTGTGTGGGGGGGATGTCCTGATGTTTGTAAGGAATGCATTGTGTGAATCTGTGTTTGTATGTGTAAGGGCTGCAAGGTGAGTTTGTGTATGTATGGGATGCAGTGTGTGCATCTGTAAGGGATGCACTGAGTGTGTGTAAGGGGTGCATTGTGTGTTGCTGTGTGTAAGGGATGCATTGCTTGTGTATGTGTGTATGTGTGTAATGCATTGTGTGTTTTTCTGTGTGCAAGGGGTGCATTGTGTGTATGTGTGATGGATGTCAATCTCTCCCCCTCCCCCCGTCAAATTCCTTCTCCCCCTTCCCCCGTCAATTTCCTTCTTCTCCCCCACCCTCCAATTTCCTTCTTCTCCCCCTTTCTCCAATTTCCTTCTTCTCCCCTCTACAATTTCCTTCTTCTCCCCCCCTCCAATTTCCTTCT